TTTCTAAAGGATAAGCAAAAAAAATCTCCTTGTGCCACTGAGGATTCAGAAGTTTTAAGAATTAGTTGAGAAAGTTAGGTCAATAAAAAATGATTTTGCAATTCCCCAGTTCAAACATGTCATTAGTAGGAAGAGAGAAGATGAAGAGATAACTACATGACATAGTAGTGAGAAGAGAAGCAAGTTTGTTTATGTTAGAAGAGGACCTATGATACCAATTGGTGGTATACCAAAATGCCTCAAATGTGGTAAGAGGCATACATGGCAATGCTATATGATTATAGGATAGTGTTTTAGAAGTGGTCTGCATGGATACATGATGATTGATTTCCCATAGAAGGGATATAGAGAGAGAGATCTAGGTCCATGATGGATCAATTTACAGACATATGAGTAGAGACCTACAGGATTTAGAATATTTAGTTAATATTTTATGGGCAAGACTAACGCTAGAAATGTGAGTGGAAGTTAAATACATCTCACACCTTCAGTGTTGACAGTGCCTCCAATACAGCCAAGGGTATATAATATGAGTCAGTAAGAAGTGAGAAATATTTTAAAGAGATCCTGTAATAGTCCAAACTCTCTTAATTATAAAAATATTATCCGCTTTGGCCTAAGGGCCTCACAATTTTGTCCATTTGGTGTAACTTTTCATGAAGTCATCAATATCAAGATTTCTTCAGGATGAGCATGCTTAACATCAGAGCTTCTTAATAAGATTCCAACCATTACACAAAAAGGTGCTTTGATGTTTAAGAGTTTAGCTTATTTTTATTTAAGGGATTTCACAATCTCTCCCACTTAAGTAACTGGTGCCCTTTTTAGTATCTTTATCCCAAAATTATTCACCAGCCAGATAAGATTCTAGCTAGTGTATTTCTTTGATACCATTTATAATAGCTCAAACTCTCAACTATCAAGATCTTATCTATTTTGGACTAATAGCCTCATGATTTATCATGTTGGTGAAACTCCTGAGGAGGTCACCCATCACAAAATTTATTCGGGATGAGTACTCTTAACTGCAAAGCTTCTTAATAAACTTTAACAATTACACCGAAAAGAGGGATCGATGTTTAAGAATTTAGCTTCTTTTACTTAAATGGTTTCACTTTTTTTTTGGGTCCAATAGTATAGTTCATTATTTTGAGTGCAATTATTAATGATTGAAATGTATTGCATAACATGTCATATGATTGATTAAGTAACATGTATACAATTGTGAATGAATGAATACATTATTTAATTAATGATTGATGTGACAGGTGATCAGTGACTATGTTCTTTTTGTCAGTGATCAATAGTGAGAAATATATAGGATGGTATTTTTAAAGGTGGGTAGATTGTAATAGCATTCATTTCATTTCTCTAAAATTTCTAGAATTTGGTATGTGAGAGTGTTGTGGTGCCAAGATGGGCGATGCCCTCACTTTATGCTCTTGGATTTTTAGGGAATAAATTGAGCACAACGGTGCTTGGGCCCAAGGCATTGGGTCTAAACTTCATTTTTTTATAAAAAATATCTAAAAGCATTTTCTTAAACCCATCACCCTCAGCCATCCCCTCCCATTTCTTCTTGTTTGGTGAAGATAGAAGAAGATAGGGAGAGAGAAGAGAGAGAGAGAGAGAGAGAGAGAGAGAGAGAGTTTTCCCCGAAGTCATTTCCCTTTGTCACTTTAGTTGGAAAGAAATATTCTGATCGTGATAGATAACTCAAATCCTATTTCCATCTCAACTATTTTTATTTATCATATTTTATCTCTCCTAAAATCAATTAAAATATTGTAATATCTCTTATTTTAGTGATTTTTCATAATGTAACTTTTGATATATGGTATATATCATTATCCTAAGTTTTTTAATTGGTTAAATTAAAATTTCACTATGTGATTTTACTTATATCTTTTTAATTTACATGAGTAATATGATGTTGAATATAAAATAATCATGAGTCAATGTATTGCATTTAGATAGGAAATACATAATATGCATATATTTACTATTCATTTAGTTCAATATGTATTCTAGACATATTACAAATATACTAATGAGTATATTGATAATTATATTGAGTGTACATGATGTGTGTTATTATAGTCTATAGATGTGTAATGTGTGTAAAAGCAAAAAAAATACATGCTGGAAATGATTGATTGATTCAGGCTGGTTGGAGATATGTTACCCTCCTAAGTGATATGAACAATGAGGCATAATGAGACTAACTTATATGATATGATACACCGACAAGTAGGAAGTTGTGACTTCTTACATAAATTACCTGACTTGTGATATGTAATATGAGACTAATTCCTGATAATGAGATTGATGTGATTGAGACTTATTTCTATAGGGTTGGGCTACATGATATGATATAAGGAAAACACCACATGTAGTAGGACACCTTATCTTGTTTATATTATTTATATGTGCATATGATATTAGGAGAAAAAGGATACATTCATGTAGCGGACCCCCACGTAGTGGGATAAAGGCTTGATGTTGTTGTTGTTGTTGTTGTATGGCATATGATATTAGCATACATGATATATTACATAAGTAGAACGATATGATACGACATATACATGCACATGACATCACTGATATAGACACATGACATGACTGATAAGATCAATACAAGGAAACATGATTCACATGAACTATATAATTAATATACATGATACATATTGCATATTACATACAACATTACAAAGAGTTGATATTAGGGGTGTCAATTCGGGTCAACCCGTCGGGTTCGGGTCGAACCCGACCCGACCCGTATATAAACGGGTCAACCCGAACCCGACCCGTTTTTATAAACGGGTCGAACATTCCAACCCGGACCCGACTCGAGCTTAAATAAACAATTACTATATTAAAAATAGAACAAAATGTGTAGTTGTAAAGCAAAAAAAGATTAGATATCAATACAAATAAAAGCTAATACACGAATATAAATCCCAACAAAGCTACAAGCCACATTCAACATGAAGGATCAAAATAACACAATAGGATAAACAATATCAAACAAGAGAGCCAATGCATTGATATTAGAAACCCAAAAATGTAACAACAAAATAGTAAGATAAGGAAAATTAAATTTCTCAAGATATATTGTACCCCTAAGAAACCCATTAAAAAGTATAACTATTTGTCTATCTCTATGCTTTACACCCAATTGTATAAGAAACTCAATATCATGAATGGCTTAATGAATAATAAGATTAGTATTATAATTGCAGCTAGCTAAGATATTATTATATCTAGCATGATTCCTAACATTCCAAGGCATCCAACATATAATTAAAAAATAGAATAATGATGATATGGAATTTATGTTGCTATGAAGTTGGTATCAACACACTTGAAATATATATAGTTCATGTCATATTCAATATAAAAAATAATGTTAAAGTAATAAACAAAATAATTCCATTATTTTACTAGAAATTTCAATATATATAAAAGTATGCTAAATTGATTTAATATTCTCATAAAATTGGCATCTAAAGGAACTTGTTTTATTGAATACTAATACCAACATAAATAAAATAATTGAATATTCTCCATGCAAATAAAGAGAGGTACAAAGGTGTAGCTTTATTCGAAAAAATTGACCGTAAGTGCTCAGGTTTAGTTTATATAATAAATTTTCAAGTATTTGAGAATAAAAAAGAAAAATTCCTTTCAATTATTCCTGAATATGGCATCATCATAATCAATGTTAAAAAAGTTAGAATATATAAAATTTGAAATTCTTATAATAAAAATATTTTTATATTCTTCAAAATTTGAGTCCTTTATGAACAATTGATTGGAGAGTTGAGAACCATCTTTTTTTTTTTTAATCATATAAATATTATTAAGATACCAAAGCCTATTAACCCAAGAATCATAGTATTTAATACCCTTTTGCTTTCAATACATCTTTTGATTCTACTCTTCTATCTCCAAAATTCTTTCATAGTGAAAATTATTCCATTTAGGCTTCGTTTAGGACGACTTTCTTCTTGCTTTCTAAAATAGTTTTTTAGTACAAAAATGTTTGAAATTTAAATTTTTTTACTAAAACGCCATTTTAAAAAGCATTACAAAAGCTGTTCCAAACGAAGCCTTAGTCTCTATAACTTTCTTTTTTTGCTTCATTCATCTCTACCAATGAAGCATATGGGGAAGGACCGACAAACGATCTTAAAACTTGAGTATACTCTATCAATCTCCTTGCAAGTTGACATTATACCCATGAATTGAAAGAATTGAGCTCCTAAAACTCAATCTCTTGAAATGTCATTAATTTGTAGCCGGAGCTCCTCAAGGTTGCCTCAAATCCCCCTCTTCCCCAATAGCTCTTATGGATGTATTAAGGATGGGACTTTCCTTAATACCAACCTCGTCTACTCTCTCTTTCTATTATCAGGGCTCAAACCCGTTTACCCTTCCTTTGACTAGCCACCTCATTCTAATCTCATATATATTCTCTCTCCTTTAATTTGTTCACACCCATAAGCAATACAATGCCCTCTTAATTTCTCGCAATTATATCAATCATTATTTTAGCAAATCAATACTCTAACATATAATAACCTAAGAATTTGATAAAGATAAAATACTGTATTTTAACAGAATTTGAATTTTTTTTTAAATTTTATGTTATAAATTATCTAAATATACTTGAAATTTAAAGTATATTTAAGTTTTAATAAAGGGATTATAAAACTAAATAATAATAATGTTTGTCTACATCATTTATAAATTTTTTAATATATATAAAACTAAATTTATTAATTTCAATTATAAGTAATTAGTATAGCTCAAGTTTAAATTTTTTAATGATAATAATAATAATATCCAAATAATAAAGAAAAGTTAAATCCAAAGAAACATTTAGTATTATTCTCAATAGTATGATGTTTAATTAAATAAAAAAGAAATAAATGAAATTTACCGGGAAATGGACTGGCGCCTTATTGCATAGCGTCGCTATTGTTGCTTGTTTGTTGATATCCAGCTGACCCGCCTTATCCCCATTTTAGGGTTTATCAGCCAGTGTCCTTTCTGCTCAGTCGGAATTCCTACCAGCTTCTCTCGGATGGCCGTCGCTGCGCCATTCATTCTCTCTCAGCGCTCCGTGTACAGATTAAGCCCGTTTTTCTCTACTACTCGCTCCAGTTGCTTAGGAATTACATCGTTCCGCTGGCATCTAAGCCGCCCGAACAAGAAATGCTTCTCAAGTTTGGTTACACACGCATCTTAATTTCATACCTCCTGTTCTTGGAGCTGGATTTAACGCCGCTTTTGTTGAACAGTGGCGGCTATGAGGAATGGTATATTCAACTCTCCAGAAACTGCAAAATCTTTCGATTTTGCATCAGAGGAACGAATATATGACTGGTATTTTATTGCTGGTTCTTGCTTACGATAGGAACTATGTTTCTTTATTATGTCTCCCTGCCAGAATGGGAGAATTGTTTCTTATTTGCTCCGAAGGCCACGTATGTTTGGTTGGAAGGAATGTAAATGCATTTAACTTTATAATTTCGTATTTTTTGTTCTAATGTAATTAATATGTAATTGAATTTGTCTAAAAATGAATAAATTCATTTTTTTTGACAAATCCCGTTCAACCTTAGTGAGATTTAGGAAGAAAAATTTTAGACTATGGTAAATCACATATCCTCTCATGTCAATAAAAAATTCAGATTCTAATCAATTAAATATCAATTTTTTTTATAATAATTTTCTCCTCAAATCAGTGGATGAAAACTAGGTTGAATTTGATTCTATTACCATTTTCATTTTATTCTCATTTCATCAACTTCAATTCTTTCAACCTAACAGAACCTGTGTTTATTTTAGAGCAGAGAGGCCAAGGTTATGTTGTTATGTTGTTGATATAATATTAAAGAATGTTTGGGCAATCTTTATGCAGAGAAGCAATATCCTTGGAGCTCACTAAGGTTGGAGAAATTATTAGGTTCAGAGACCGGATGTAGAGATACATCCGGACTCCAATAAAATGTTGACACATGGAGTGGACATGTGGATATTCAATTGGATTTATTTTTTATTTTATATATTTAATGTGTCCGTGTAACTTTAAGCCAAGCGCACCAAAAGCGTAGTCAAAGCGCAATCAAAACACAATAAAAAAGCGCAACAAAAGAGCAGTTAAAGTGCAACTAAAACACATTTAAAACGCACAAAAAAGTACAACCAAAGCGCATGTAAAGCGCACAAAAAGTGCAACCAAAGTGCACTCTACGTGTCAAATTTTAAGCGGATGTCCAGACGTATCTCTACGTCTGATCTCTGCACCGAATAATTTCAGGCTGTGCTTGGTTTGAGGGAATTGAAAGAGTGGAAATGAAACTGAAACTGAATTGAATATGCTAAACTAATTTTGTTGAGATTTCTTTAGTAAATGAGATTAGTTTTCATCTACTTTGTTTGGTAGATGAGTGGTGGTTGTGTGAACAAGAATTCATTTTCTTATTTGGTTGATAAGAAATTAAGTTTTTTAATAAAATATTTGGAGAGAAATGTGAGTTTCAAATGATTAATAAATTTTTCTTCGGTGTTTTTTTAGCTAGGATTAGGCAGGGAATTATTATTGGAAAATGGATTTGTTCACATTTCTTAGATAAATTCAATCACCTATTAATTATCTTCTAACCAAGAATCAAATATGAAATGGGAAATTTGACTTTCTATGCCTCATAATAGCCATATTTGGAGAAATATGCCAGCCCTTGCTTTTACCTATTTAATTTTACCAGAAATAGCATATCTGTAAGTTTATAGTTTAAGAAGATGTTGCTTAAGCTTTGGGACTTCAGCATGGGGATCAGTTTATTTATTTGGAAGAAGTCAACTCATTTTCTCTCTTTTCATGATATGCACAATTAACTGCATTTATAACCGATTTTTTTTTTTAAAGGCACAACAAAACATTTTTATATGATGTGGATGCTGTTTGTAGTCATAAGGGGGTAATCTATCTACATTTATTTTATACAAGATGGAGCAGCTGTAATGATGCATGCCTTATACTTATAGAAAATTACAGTTCTTACAAAATGAAAATTATAAAATTTATTTGATCAGTTTGATGCAACCAAAGTTATAGAAATATGAATAAAATTTTGGAATACCCTTTGTGTTTGGTCAATGCATTGGATTGATAGTTTGCAGTGTAAGTAATTTGCAAGTTTGTTAATTTCATTGGAAATTCTCTCAAAAGTGTTTTTATATACTTGAAAGTTAATATGGACCATATGGTTGAAATTGTTATTATGTTCTCAAGTTTAGATGAAGAAGGTTAAGAATTGATGTTGGGTTGATAATCAAACTTAAAACTTGTGATAAAATAATGAAATGAATTTATTTTTGAAATTTTCTAGTGCAAGGGTGTGCTTGGTTCTGCAACTTAATTTTCTTATGGTGAGAAATATCCAAGAATTTGCTAGGATGTTACTCCGAAGTGACTTGCTAAAAATGAACTAGATTTTGGTGAAGAATAGGTAAACTTGGCCAGGTGACACATGTAAGGTATGCCCCCACCCAAAAAAAAAAAAAAACTTGTTTGATTGAGGTGAAAAGTTAGTAGTGGTTTGCATGGTTTAGAACTAATATGTAATTTGAGATATGAAATTTGGAGATTTTATGAAGAAAAGAGAATCGGTGGATACAATGGTTGAAGAGAAGTAAATATTACTTATTTAAAAGAAAGTTAATTGAAAGAGAAACATTTAAAGACATTTGGAAAGGTTCTAAATTATTTTATGTTGAAAATGCTTACAATAATGAGTTTTAGGTAGTAGTGGATAGAGAAAGATGAAAATTTTGAGCTGTATTGGGTTATTGAAGGGGCAATTGTTATTAAGATAATTATTAGTGATGATATCATAAATGTGGTTAGCGCTTAAGCTTCTCAAGTTAAGTTATAAGATAGTTTAAAAAAAGATTAGTATTGAGAAGAGATGGATGAACTAATATGATGTATTCTTTTGTTAAGGCATATAGAGTAGCGAGGTTAGTCTTGAATGGTTGAGTAATATATTGGTTTAGAAATATGAAGTGGTTGATCATGGTCCTCACCCATAGAATTAAGCTTTTGGATAAAAAATATGTTTGACAATCAATGTATCTAGCCTAATTTTTATCCCCTTTTGATCCACACTTTCTTATAAACTCGTATCAGATCACAATTTTAAGATTGATGGCTATGAAATTTGAGATTAAGAAGTTTGATAGATCAAGTAATTTTGGCCTTTGGAGAATTAAGATGGTGGTGCTTTGTTCAACTAGTTTTATAGATGCACTCATTTGATGTTCAAAATTCTCATCATCATGAGTGAATGTAAAGAAGAATGAAAAAAACACTGATTTAGTTGTGTATGAGGAATCCATAACAAAAGGTTTATGGCTCTAGCTTGAGTCATTATTCTTCACCAAAAGCCTCTTTAACAAACTTTATTAGTAGTATGTTTTTAATTCACATGTTGGAAGGTGCAGTGATCAATTCATATTTCTGAACTAATTTATTTAAATTATTCATGATTTGAAAGCTTTGATGATTTTTTTTTGATGAGGATCGAGTTTTATTATTAATACACTATTTGTCTTATAAGCACCTTCATGACACCATATTGTATGAGAGGAATATCACAAGGTTATAGGATGTAAATAATGTACTTTTGTTAAGAGATGTAATTTCTTAGCTTGGGTTTGTGGGTTAAAAATAAGCAAGATAAGGGGTTGTTTGTGTGGAGACCAATGGATCTAGGGTCCATCTCTACAGGTAAGTTTATTGGCAGAAATATGACTTATTTATATTGCAAGTTTATTCTTAAATAGTAGGGATTTCTACAAAACCGTTGTTTTCACAATCCATCATTTCAGTTCCACCTGTTTACTTGGACATTGAAATCTCTTGCCCCAAGAAAATTTTGATGGGCATCCTTTTTTGCTATTTGAAATTTGCACAAAGTTTCATATGAAACATCAAATTAAGTTGTCTTGTACTTATTAATTCTTGTTGGCAACCTTGAATTTGAGCGGAAATAACTTACTATGTCTCTTCATAACATCAGGTGGGAGTCTCAAGGTTATTTCAAGCCTACTTTTGATCGTGGAGGGGATCCTTTTGTTATACCCATGCCACCTCCAAATGTTACTGGCTCGCTGCATATGGGACACGCAATGTTTGTAACTCTTGAGGTTAGGAATATTGTAGACTTGGCTATTTTTTTGAACATCAAAGTCTCTTCTAATCTGTACGACCTTATTAGCTTTGGGTGCTAGATTTATATTCTAAATAATGACAAACATTAAAATAGCCTTTTTATGCTTATCGACTCTAAGACAATCCAATAGTGAATTCAATCAAGGGCAAGCAACCACATTAGTGGTACAAATTCAAAATAAACCTTCTTATGTATGGGGAGGGAATGCAAACTTTCAAGTTATGTTGCTGGAGCGAATGGTAGACCATACCATGTTTAGCATTCCACATCCATTGGACCTTTTTTCTTACTCCCATGGCAGAAGTATGTGCTTTAATGCCATATATTTTCTATGTTCATCTTTAATAGGATCTCTCATTTTGCTATTCCTTATTATTTTCTTTCTTCTTTGGAACTGTTGGTTTTGAAAGTGTTTATTGGCTCACTTCAATCTCCTTTCGACTCTTTTAGAGTTTGCAAAACGATGTAGAGCAACATAAAATTTCCAAGGTAAATAAGGATATTACGCTAGAGAGATCTTTTAGATAGAAGGTGAGTTGGCTAGGGGTTATTTTAAATTTGGAGGCTAGAGGTTTTCCATGTGCCCAAGCTCATATGATTTATTACATTCTAGGCTCAGTGCCAAAGAACACTCTTGATTAAGGACATTGACTGCACTTTAGATGCCAATTAGTATTTGGGATTGTTACAGAAATGGATGAAGAAATAGAGTGAATGCTATGAGACACCTTTTGAGGTTGTAATCCATATCGAACATTTGACTTGAGGTGATTCTTGAGGGTCCATTTGTTGCTGAGATGATTAAACAATGTGGTAGAGGAAACTATATCGTATTCTGTGTTGCTCCAAGTATGGAGCCACGAGTAGCTCGACTTTTGAGATGCATTTAGATCGACTCAAAGAAATGATTTGAGCAGAAAGGTAGAGTGATTTCATTCTCTTGAGGGTGTGGCTTACACTAGCATCTGAGTTCCAATGTTGGGAAGGTGAGATCTACATTTGGAGGAAGACTCACTAAGCATCTTTTAGAAAGTTAGGTCTTACAATGCTAAAATTAAAGAAGTCTTGGATTGGGACATGCATGTATATGGCCTGAACTAAAGGGGTTGTGGGACTTGGGTGGATACGAACCTACTTGAAAATGCTTGACTAGGTTAGTGATACTGTGGATGCTTGATTTAAGCTCGAACGAGAGCTATGGCTTATAATTCTTTTCTTAGAGATGCCATGAGATTGGGACTTACAACGTTGAATATATGGGAAGCTCGGATATGGGTAAGCATGTGTCTTCCTATTGCATTGTTAGGGAAGTTCATGAATGTGACTTTCAACCTCTCGATGATAGGAAGTTCCAATGGTCGGTCATAAGAACTCACCCTATAGGCAAATAACCCTAAAGACATTGTAATTTATATCATGAAGGTAGCTCTAAGGCTATATGCGGATGGATGCTTTCCCTAAGGCTATATGTAGATGGATGTGTCAAATATTTCAATGAAGCATGAGTAGGGATCATTGAGTCTCAGAGAACACTATGCAAATTAGTAAATCATGTCCCACTTTTGTGGCATTGAACAACTCTTAAAAGGATTGGGATTAGGTGCCCTCTTTATCAGGTGATGGCTTTTATCCTCTTATCTCTATGGAGATAAATTGACTATACACACTTTTCGTAAAAAAAGTGGTAGGGGTGGCCGAGTAATTTTGAAAATGTTGTATGATTTGATCTCAACTGTGGATGCAGTTTGTGCTCAAGGACCTACTTGATGGAATGTTTTTACATCTTTTAGGATTGGAGGGAGAAAAAAATTTAAATCTAGACACATTTAACTCTTTCACAAGTTCTTGATCTATAAAACAAAGCAAGCCATAAAAATGGTAATTGACTCCTTAATTCCCTAAGGGTTGGGATAGAAACAACGACTACTACAGAGGTCAGTGAGTGGCTCACACTTTCTTGCAAAACTAAGAAGATGATTCGACAACTTAAAAATGCTACTAACTTGGAGTGGAAGGATATTGTGAGAGGCTGTTTTACCAACTAGATTTGAACACCTACCCCTATTGTATGATGCTTCCAAGCCAATATAACCTTTAAAAGCTAAGAGGCAACATTTTTGTCAAAGGATGCAACCATCTTGGCCAAAGTTTTTTTAAATAATGGAGGGATGTTCATTTTACCAATGTTGATGCTAATGAACTTTTTCTCGCTTGATGTTATTCTACCTAATGAAATAAAATCTCTTTGCATGTCTTACCTTGTGTTGCTTGTACGATGTCATTCAAAGGCTGAAAGGATGAGTCAAACTTTGTGGATCTCAAAAAGCACAAAGGAGAACAATCCAAACTTGCATAGAAAATTGGTGTGTGCTACATGAGGAGCGATACTAGTTATGTGATGAGCTCATTGGGGCATCTCAATATGTGATGCCAAAATAATGATTGGAGTTGGCATCAATGATTTTGAGGAAGCGATTGAGGCCAAGCATGCATATAAGGTCGAAGAATCCTTGAATAGGCCATAGAAAATGGAGGCAAAATAAAGCAACTCCAAAGCTGCAAAGTTGTACCACCATGAATATCTAAGCTTCTGTTTTTTTGGGGGTCTTTGTTAGAGTATGTTTGAAGATAGTGAGCTTGATAATTATTCTTTGGATCTTTCGCCATTTTGCCAACCCACTTGAGGACCCTTGCCCTGCTCCTTATAAAAAGGCTTCCTTGTTTTTTGAATAAACACAAAACAGCTAATGGAGAATGCGCTCCATCTATAGATGTATTTCGATTGCTCCTCTTTTATAGCAGGTTTTGATGCTATGGGCTTACATCAACTTCTGTAGGCTTTAGGCTTACAATACCCAAGGATGTACCACCCATCCTGAGCTCTCATCAGTGGTGTTGATGCGGGTGATGGAGGTGTTGAGAAGTTAAGGTGATACTGGAAGCTTTGCCCCTTATAATGTGATTGATTCTCCTCATCTTTGAAGGGATGGACTTGATTTCCCTTAAGCAATTGCACTTCACCAACTGCCTTTGTTAATGATGAAATTGTAAATTGAATGTTACCTTAAGGTTTTTATACTTGGCTTGCCAAGAGTCCTTCTGAGGCCTCCTGACCATGGCTAAGGAATAAACAAGGAAATATGGTTATACCATGGTGGCTGCACTATGTAGTGCTTGAGAATGGGTCTTGATTGGTTATCAAACACAAGTAAAAAACAATGGATCCTTAATCAGATTTTTTGGAAGTTACATCGTATTGCACTCTAACTATATATTAGGCTTGGTCCATCAAATTGACTCAAGATATTGGAATTATGGAATCTTGATTGGATTGTTCTCAAATTCGCCTCTACCAACTCAATGCTAAATTGCTAATATTAATTTCTAACTTAGAGCGTATGTGATGCATTTAATTGAGAGTATTCTCTACTATTAAGTCAAGATATAATTAATCATGGGTGTTTCGGTTCGTGGGAGATCTTGATCATCTCAATCTAGATAAACCCTTGCTTATTGACTAGGTAAAATCCCTCAAGGCTCTCCAAAAAATCCAAAAGATAGGCAGAAACTCATTTACGTTAGCTTTTCAAAGAGGGTTGTACTATTTTATTGCTGCAAAAGCGCAGTTGTTACAACATTTTATGATGGTTCTATAGATATGCCAGAGGGTACCCGTTGAGTGAACTTTTAAATGGATACATTTTGATACTACATATATATATATATATATATATATATATTATCGTCTCCCCTATGCTCTTCTCTATTATCGTCTCCCCTATGCTATTCTCTCTCTTTTTTTAATTGGCTTGAGGGATCTGTGGATTTTTTTTTATGAGATTTAAGTGTACTTTAGTTTAGGGGAAGAGCATGTTCTAGTGCCCCTCTTATTGTGCACCTGTATGACTTCTTTATAATTGATCAATTTTTCTATTGTCCAATAGACTTAAGCTTATATTAGTTAAATCGCATACTTCTTGATGTCTTTTAGTGATGCTTGTTTTCTTTGTTATTATTTTGTTTATTCATCATATTCACTCGTGGTAAGCATTACTGCATGAAAGGTTTCCTACCAAGGCAGGCATTGGTTGTGTTCAGAGTAGCTAGGGTGTTGGCTAATTTTGGGTCCAACTAGGTTATTTTTGAATCCATATTGATGTGTTTGACTTAATAGGTGTATCTTGGCATGATTTGAATTGCTTGATCCTTTAAACCAATTTTGACTTGTTGACTAGGTTTTGGCTAATGTTGTATAGGTGGAAGCATTGGACCAAGGTGTACTGGAATGTCTTCTGAGATGTGTCGTAACCTGCCTGGACTATTGCCACTGTGAGGGGCATTGACTTGAACCTCTTTAGGTTCCACGACCATTCATACTTGGCACGTGGGCTTCAACAATTAAATTCGCAATAATTATCTTTTAGGATGAGTTTTAGATGTTGTAATTGTTTATAAGCAATTAAGAAGTTATGTTGTTTGAATTAATTGTAATTTGTTGGTAATTAACTTTCCCCTAGCTCCTGAAAACAAGCAATTGGTTATTGCCACATGCATGGAACCAGGTTGTTGGCAATGCTGTAATTTGGCTAATATTTTATCTTTAGCACAATACGTGACTATTTAATTAAAAAAATAAAAGTTAAAACCAACATTACATTTTCTTTCAACGGATGAAGTTTTGCCTTCTTGTAGTTGGGAGAACTAGGATTATACTTAAATATTTTCATTTATATTTGGAGCCATAAAGTTATCTGGTATTGCCTGGTCTTTGTTAAACATTTCATGCGTGTGCTTTTTTAACGGACTAATGTTATGGAGTTATTAGGGATGCAGCCTAATCTACAATGTCCTGTATGTTCGATTACATTGGCTGTTCTTAAGGCTTTGTTTTGATGTATTTCAAAATTTTCCTTAGATTTGTCCTTTGGTTTATAAAATGCTGTTCATATGCCTTTTTGTCCTGTTTTTGGAGTATACGGTCACAGTTTCTTATCTTATTTTCTAGTCCGTCCTATGTGAACAGGATATCATGATTCGATACTTCCGCATGAAGGGCAGGGCCACACTTTGGCTTCCAGGAACTGATCATGCTGGTATTGCAACTCAGGTCACCTTTTAGTTTTCCATGTTGAAATTTAACCTTTGGGTTAAGCGTGCTAACATTCTTAATTGACTTTTGCTTAGATTTTTTTTCCCCACTCTTCCCTGCTTTAACGTTACCATTGTAATTGGAATATCATTCTGGAGTTTGTATGCTTTGCTGCATTTATTCTGTCATACTAGGTCATTGGGTTTTCTTCTTTCTTATTTTCATATTTATCTTCTTTTCTCACAATGTTTTCTTGATGTGATCTTTCAGTTGGTAGTGGAAAGAATGCTTGCATCTGAAGGCTTAAACAGGACAGATATGAGTCGGGAAGAGTTCATCAACAAAGTTTGGGAATGGAAGGAGAAGTATGTATTTTACTTTTTTCTGTTTAGTTTTAGCAGCGATTAATCTTTTGTTATTTTGAGAATGTTGATATGATTCCAGCTGGCTTCAGAGCTCCGAGTTTGAAGCACATCCTTACAAGTTGTATTTCAGGAGACTTCCAATTTGAACATCTTATTATTGTGTAGTATTTGTCAAGCAGCTTCGTTTTTTCCTTTCACTGTTATTTGCGGTCCTTTCACTGTTATTTGCGGTGCACATTAGATGCATGCTTTCATCGAGATTGTGATTTGTGCTGCAGTGGGCAAACTCTGATTGATCATCCTCATTAACATACTTTGAAATGAAGTTGTTGCATTTTGCAGAATCTAAACTGTGCAGGACAATGTGATGAGATACATAATTATTTCATTACTTTTTTAAAGTAACTCTGGTATGGCATAGAAAGTTATGGCACTTCAAAAAAGCTGAATGCGACCCACAAGAGGAAATGCAAATGCACACATGACAAAATGATGATAGAGGAAAGCTGTAACGGTTTTTGTTATTTTGGGAGAAAATGATATCCATTTGAAAGTGATAATGCTAAATGTGTCTCTTTTGAATCTTTCAATATTTTGTCAGTAGGAAACTATTTTTCTTTGATGACATACTCTGAATTCGCTTTAGTTAGATTAGGGAGCTTTCAATTGATATTCTTTTCAATTTCTGAGCCCGGACGGAATAGAAACTTTTTCCTACTATTGATACATAGTTGGACATAATATTATATAATCAGGTTTAGGTAGATTCACAAACTCAGCAAAGGCCATCAGGCTTTGAGAGAGTGCAGATTTGGCTTAAATGTAAGCTTGTTCATTTATGAAAACTTAGCAGCAGTCCTGAGATATATCTTCTTATTTATTAATCTTTACATGGCAAATTTGAATTGTATGCTCAAATTTTAATCCTGGGGAGGATATAAACTTAGGCTTAATATTGATGCTGACTTGCAGAGTTGGATATAACTTTTATAAACAGTCAGGCCTAAGCGGATTAACAAACTCACAGAGGGTACAGATTCAGTCTTTAACGTAAACTATCTTATTTAAGAAGCTTTAGATTAAGTCCACACGGGAGTATCCTCCTATTTTTCACAACTTTACCTGACAAAATTGATTTGCATGTTCAAAGATACGATCAGATAGACCGCATCAATGCTCCAAAGGTAATGATTTGCTTCTCCTAGACAACAGAACCATAAATTTCATCATCAGCATGAACATCTTAGTTAAGAAGATTAATATTGGATTATTTTTCTTGTTTCTGGCAGCAAAGTCCTGATACTTAATATTTAGAATCCAGTGTCACGAAGTTAGGCTATACTTGTATAGGTTGTGATAGACAAACGGACTTCCGCTTAAAGGGAAAATTTCCTTCCACTTGAGGAGACGAGTATAAGCAATTTAGAACTAGATAAAAACCATCCAGTAATGTTTTATGATCAAATTTTACATAGGAATGATATGTTGATACTTGGCTATATCATATCAAATAACGAGGATATAGATGGGCTTAACTTGTAGAACTATAGCTGGGTGGTTAAAAGTATTGTATACCTCAAGATTGTTACATGATAAGAGGTTATCATGGAGACTTGATAGTAATGTAAAACATTGATAATGCTAAATTTATTGTTTAGGAAAAGTGTTGTACAATAAAGATTTTATCGAGAATTTGGTGTGACAAATTAAATTGTTATGATAGATGTGTGGTAAAATTAGAATCGATAGTGTGTGATATGATTGTATTTGAAAATTCTATTAGTAGCACCTATTAAAGGCAAGTTCTAGAAAACAATATCAACTATTTTGTGTATCTAGACTGGACATCAAAAGATTCACACATAAGATAGGGAGATAGAACTATTTTAAACTTCTTTGGAAGGAAGGGTTAGTGATATACGTCACTATTGAGATCAGTCAGAACCAAAAGATTATATTTTATGCAAAACAAACATGCAAATATATTATGAACTTAACTTTTTAGGGTACTTTTTATGAAGATGCTAACTGGAGATCCTTTATGCAGCAAGTATAGAAGCAAATATAGGTAAAACATTTAACAATATACAATACATGCAAATAAGTTCAGCAACAAATTTATTAGATTGAATGGTTGAAGAAATTCTAACCCTGAAAGCATAGAAAACAGTAGATGTGCCACAAATCCTTGGAGTTATTTCTAAAATAGATTTTATGCCATGGAAGAGTTTGCAACCGTTTTACTGATCCAGACTATCTTGAAATATAGAAATAAATACAAAGAGAACATAGAAGGTTGGAAGGATGACAATATGGAAGAAGTAAAGAAAAGACAAGAAATCAAATCAGCAAGGAGCACTCTCATCAATTTCCTTTAAGCTACATGCTTAAACAAGGACTTACCCTAGCTAAAGAGCATTTTTTCCTTTAAAAAATATTTTTCTGCATCAAAGTATTCTACTGATAATAAATGAAGCTATTCATGGCATATTAGGAGTTAAACCTATTAGTGATATCCTGAGAAATCCTCAAAAACATAGTAAATAACACATAGGACTGGGTTGAATAGATCTTGCATCTCTAGCAATGCATGATACGATTAGTATAAGGAATGATAATATCATATACTTAGATGTTTTGTATATTGGGAGTTATGCACCTGATGTTAGAGCAAGACATGAAGACTGGTTTTTTGGTGTGTGTACTTGCTTTTCCTATTTATTGTATGTTGAAATACTGTAGACTCTTTTTTCCCCCTTAAAATATGTTAAAGTTATTGCCAGGCAATTGGTAATTTCTGTGTAAAGCTCCAACACAGGAACTTATATCTATACAATTATAGGCTCCATTCCATTATATGAAATTATAGACAATAAATACCCACTTATCCTCTCTATAAGATTACTTAAAGACTAACATTGATGCGGCACAAATAATTTGCATTTCTTATGATGCCTATGTCTGAAACTCCATCATCTCTTCAAATCTTGAAAAAAAAAATTGGCTTATGCAAATGACATTTTTATCCCTTCTCAAGTTTAGTCATTGAAGCTACTCCACCAATACTCAAGAATAGTTGGATGAATGTCCACTCGCCCACTTGTTAAATTATCTTTGAGATCATTAGTCACTGGCATAAATTATTTGGTCACAAGTAGTTCTTTGGGTTGTGAAAAATGTTGTTAACAAAATAGTTCATGATAGGAGAACAACTATATTTTATACAAAGAGTTTGAAACTAGAACAAGAGAACAAAAATAGTCCATGACACAATTAGTGGCTCATGTTATGATCTCAAATGCTACAAATTGAACACTTGATTCATGCCATCATTATCTAGGAGACTAACCCATATGAGTTGACTCCAAATGGTGCTAGGATTTGATGTACACCGTTTCTTCTATTACCCTGCCCCTTACAAGTTCCTTATAATCTCTTAGTATGTAGGACAATGATCCCCGTATCTCACTATTGAAATTCTTAGTACGTTCTATAGATATTTATTTTGAAAGAAACCCACTCAAATCAAGAGAAAAAGGAATTCACGGGCATGAGAGGGAGAAGCCCACAGGAACATCTTCGTTTCTCCCCTCATTCTTGTCTGTGTGGCTTCGGCGCTTCGCGAGCGAGATACGGGTAGAGCGGGATCTCTTATTTCGAGCATAGAGGAGCGGGAGATGGAAAGAGCCATTCAGTTCTTCTTGCTTCTCGTGCGTCTTGAACAGAGAAGGAGATAGAGGGAGCGGGAGGTGAGGAGTATATTCATTTGACCTTGTCTGCTTCGTGCGTCCAAGCCGAGAGCAGCAAGAGGAGGCGGAGGTGAAGGCGGAAGGCCTCCATGTGCTTCGTGCCTTCGACCCCGTCTAGATCCCGAGCATCTCCAGGCGTCCGTGCTTTTCCAAGATGCTCGAGCCCTCTAGGCTGCCGACCTCCAGACCGTCGACTCTCCAGGCCGCCAAAAACCCTAGGTGTCCGACTCTCCAGGCCATCGATGCCTCTTTTTCCCTGGCTCCTTGTAGTTCATTTTCGCCCCTTTGACGACATTCCTTCTTGTCGGATTGAAAGTCATGGAAGTAGCTCGCTTTTTGGGAAGGTAACTATCTTTCTTCCTTACGCACGCTTCTTCATCCAAGTATTGTCAATCCGAGAATTTCAGGATTTAGGGAAATTTTAAGATTTTAGGGAATCCGGTCAATCCCATTTGGTTGTTTCTATCAACTGTCAGCTGTATTCAACACCCATATGGGAGCTTTGAGGTTCCTTTCACATTCATTTATGGATCATTTTCATCACTTGGTTTAGTCCGAATCATTTCTTTAATGCTTAAGTGATCAATGCTTGATATTCTCTGTTCCAGCCCGATAATAGAACAAAGACGAGAGAAAGACATTTACCATCACATGATTTGAGTCCATGTAAATATGTTATTTTTTGTTGTAAACCTTTTAAATTCATTTCTGATCTGTGAAAAAAATGAGATTTTTCTATAGTATATTGAGAAGTTATTTCTTCATTTTACTTTACTATGTATACACCCAACAACCAAAAAAAAAGTTCTCCTGCATTCAGTTTACAAACAACCAAACATCCTCAAAATATTTACTTTACACTGCATTCACTTTACAACCAACCAAACATCCCCTAAATTCATATGTCAATTCAGCTAGGTTTAGAGGTTTTATTAGTTTGATAATAGTTTCAATTTGAAATGGCTTATGTTTTTGGTCAATTATCAAAGTTATTATATTCAAATTTGATTTTGAGTATGTGATCCTAGTTAGGCACTTGGTCTCGCATGAAATATGATATGCCTATCTCCTAAACTCCTACTAGTCACTTCCATTTGACCATCCATTTGAGGATGATATATGAAGGGAAATTTTAGTTTGTAATCTTCATATTCCAATGACTTCTCCAAAAATAGCCACTAAACCTAACATCTCAAATACATAAGACAATCATTAGAAGGCCTTGTTTTTTTTCCTCTCACTAAGAGCTTTGTAATAGGTGATTTTCCCATTATCTTGTTGCATCATGTAAAATGTGGTACCTTAGTTAATGTTCCCGCTAAAGAAGGGTGGAAGGCTTGATCTCTTCAACTCCCTGAACCTATCCATCCTCTAGCATTCTTGGTCAAATTTGATATCATTTTGAAGTGGACATATTCTTAGGGCTAACCCCTCAAATGCTTATATATATATATGATATGTTCCCATCATGTTTTTTATAATTTGTTGAAGCATAAGGCTTGTATGATATTTTATTATTATGTAAACTTGGCCCAAAAATTGGTTGATTTTGTATTTACACATTCTAGGTTCATATTGATGCTAGTTTTGGTTAGGTTAGTATCACTAGCTATCATGCCTTATTTGAAACTATATAGAACTTTGAAAGTGTCATAAGTCAATATTTTCATCTAGAACCTATAAAAAAAATTAGGAAGATGCATATTACTAATATTAAAATGAGATGCTACGTGGAGATTTTTAGCAGCTAAAAATATGAATAGAAATAAATATTATAAGGAGAATAAAGATTCATAAAGCTTATCATGACGATAATAGTGATGTTGGTGGTGGTGGTGAGATTATAAGCTGTCTAGCCTTAGTTATGTACATCCCTTTTGTTGGTGTTAGCATAGCTTGGGTCATGCATGTTTTTAGAATGCTCAACTTTTTTTGAAAAGCTATGTAGGCACTTTCATGTGATGTGTACTCGCAACAAACATGTTGCATGTTAGGCTTCTAAAAGTGCGCACTTTCCGTTGGGAATGTAGAGAGTTGTTCCCTTTGGATCTATTCAAATATGAAGAACACTATCCATCCATTGAAATTAGATGAGGAATGATAGTGACGGCGCCATAAAAATGTCATTGTTGGCTTTAAATTGGGAGGTTAACTAGTGAAATGGGGAGTCTCGGTGAAGGCTTTTGATGGTTGATATGCAATAACACCCTTTACTAGAGGAAGGCTGGTTGTTAGGAAGATTAATGGCACATGAGAAAGCATCGATGAGGGCATCAAGCAACACATGCTATCAGGAGCGATAAGCTAGCATGTAGTAGCGGCAGGAAGGCTTCTGTAGAGAGACTAAAGGTCACATTAGGGGAGAGGAGTCTTTTAACTGTCAATTGCTGTGGGGTTGGTAACTGTCATAAAGCATCACAGCTTGACTTAGGAAGGGAATTAATTGCAGCCAGTGTAGGAATTTTCTTGTTCAAGGATGAAAATACCTTGAAGCAAGTCAGAAATTTCAATTCTCCAATTGGTCATCTGAGACATGAATCAGAACTCGGAGGGGTTTGTTCCATATCTGGCCCTTTTAGGTGTAGTTAAGGTTGCTTTTCTGTGTTGTGTGAGAACTTGGTACCCATAGGAAGTATGATTTCTCTTTTTCAGTTTGGTAACATTTTTCTAAGAAGACTTTTTTATTGTTTTTCAAGAAAATGTCATGCTGGATAACATCTTTTAAACAAAGTCTGTTTTATTCTCTTTTAAAAACATTTCATGTTGTGAAATTTTCTTGTTCTTATTGTACGATCCTTTTTTTAGCTGTTTTTTAGTATAAGTATTTTCTTAGTACAAATTTTTACTATTATTATCCAGTTCTAGTGCTAATTGCTCTCAGGTATGGCGGAACAATTACAAAACAAATTAGAAGATTGGGCGCATCTTGTGATTGGACTAGGGAACATTTTACACTTGATGAGCAGCTAAGTAGTAAGAAACTCGGATATTTATTACTTATTTGTGCAACCAATGTATTATTATTTTACGAATTTACTCCATATTTACAATTTTTCTTAATGAAGCATTAAAGAGGAGATATGGAAGCAAAGCAGTTTGGTTATGCATCTCTTTACCTACCTTAGTAATTTTATTGTACTGCCGTCATTCCACTTTACTTCTTCTGCACCTCTTTTACCTTTTTAATAAACCTAGATCAAAGTTTAAGTGCCATGTTAGTGTTAACAAGATAGAGTCATGCCATGCATGCTGGATCGTGCCATTGCCATTGTTAGATTTGTTCTATCAAGTTGTCTATTTTGCTTGCATGCTTATATTTTCTTCATTTTTTTTCTTTTAACCATACTATTCCACATTATTCATAATTTTACAGGTATTTAATTCTAATAGAGCTTTGTGAATTTGAAATGGATGCAGGGGCTGTAATTGAGGCTTTTGTTAGACTTCATGAAAAGGGACTGATATATCAAGGTAATATCAACAAAAGCATAAAATACATGTTATCTTTATTACATGTGAAGCCCCTTAATTTGAATGAATGTGAACTCTTAAACATCAAAGCACCTTTTGGTGTACCAGTTGGATTTTCATTAAAAGCTCTAAAGCTAAGTGTGGTCATATGTGAGCACTCTCATGATGAGTGATTCCTTGGGAATTTACACCTATGGGACAAAATCGTGAATTCACTAGAGTAAAACAGATAATATCTTGATGGTTGAGCTTGGTTGGTTACAATATGATGGTCCAATTTCTTGGAAGCTTATTGAAAATGCTTATCCTAATTGTTTATATTTGGATGACAAGTATTTTATGGATGCAAGTAATTACTTTCTCTTGTTAATCATTATCCATGCACTTATATATTGGTTGAATCATGATACTTAGATTATTTATTACTTTTGAAGATAGTGCTTTACATATATTATATAGTTGGAAAGGAATCATGAATTGATTAGGTAGTAAAAGCCATTTATCATCACTATTGATCTTGATCTACCCTATGAAAAATAGATAGTAATCAGTATTTAAAAGTTCTTATGATGATTTTCCAATCAATTGGATTAGAGCATTGTGTGTGTATTCACGTGTGTGTATTTATATGTAATACTTGTTTGCAACCATTTCTTCCATTTATATTTCTTAGCTATAGCTTAAACTATTTAGGATGAAGATCACCTATCTTATTCAAAACTTTTATATTTTGTGGCATATGTAATTTCATGCAATTTTAAAATTATGCGATCATCTGTCAAATACATCTAAAGTTTTTGATGGATGATTTTGGATTTGGCAGATATTTTAAACATTTGTCAACATGGTCTAGTTTTTTGGAATCGTATTGAAACTGCAAATCCTAATTGTCTATTTTTTGATGAAAAGCATTTCAAAAAAAGGAAATAATTACTTCCTCTTGTTTAATTATTATCCATGCACTTATATATGGTTGAACCGTGATACTTAAGCTTATTTATTACATTTGAAGATAGTGCTTTATATATATTATATAGTTCAACTCAAAATTCTATCTTTCCCAAATCCCAATATCCTGTTCATTAACATGTAATTCAAAAATAAATAGCAATGACGTAACAACTCAGAAGTCATCAACACTGTCATCACTAAGGGGGTTTTCATTTCAATCATCGTTATGATGAACTGCTCTCTCCCCTTCCTTATCTCCTATGGAGTCTGTTAAAACTAGAGATTTATGAGGGAAAAGCTTATTTCATTGCATAAATTCTAACCTATATATAGATCTATACAAGATTTTTAATAAGGAAACAAATAATAAAATATAAATCTTCCTAAATCAGTTGCCCATCTATGGAAGGTGTTTCAACATGATTCATGAGCTCTTCCCATGGATTGCTCTCTGTGACTGTCAAATCTTTGCATAGGGAACGGCTGGATTTCAACACTCCCCCTCAAGCTGGGAGATATGGATTTATCATTCTCAGCTTGTCAATCTGTTAGACCGGTCCAGAGAGGACCGGTCTAGCCGGTCCAGAGAGAACCGACTCTATTTGTTTACGGGAGAAGAAAACAGGCGGAACTAGCTAGGGAGCCGGCGGAAACAGCAGGGAAGGAATAGGTGGGGTTCACTTGTTTTTCAAATTGAATCTTGGAGCCAAAAGGAGTGGAAGCAAGGGCAATTAAGTCATTTTATGTTATTTTTGAATTGTATGCATTAAGTAGGGAGAAAAGGATAGATGAGGGCTATGTTGAATTTGCTTGAAGTTTTTCTTGTTCTTCTTTGGTGGCTAGGCTCTAGATCGAATTCTAGAGATTGGGAGAGTGCGATCCTCCTCTCGAATAGAGGATCCTTGTATCTTTGCTATTTTTCTTGCATCTACTAGTAAAATACAAGCTTTTTCTCCACTATTTCTCTCAGATTTGCTATTTTTTCCACTGTTTTGTGCCAATTCCTGCTGTGGACAGCAGGTTCTCACTGTTTCTTGCGTCGAAAGTGGTTAGGAAATACTTGAAATCGAGTATTTCCTATCAAATTGGTATCAGAGCAAGCCTTGGGATCAATCGTGGGCTGTTTTTGACAAATTTCGGCTGCTGAAATTTGTGCCGGCGAAGAGGAAATTGCTGAATTTTTTTTTAGATCTAGAGTTCGTCACCAAATTTTCAAGCCGTAAGAGATGGCGGCTAAGGTGGACGCTTTGGAGGAGCGAATTGAAGGGGAAATAAATCAAATCAAGGAGACCGTGGAGGAACAAATGTCTTCCATGGAGGGGCAAGTGGCCGATCTACGAGAAATGGTGAAGAAGATGTTGGAGTTTCAAACCCAATCGGCGGCATCTGATGCAAAAGGGCCAGCGGCGAAGAGTACCTACTCTGAAATCCATCGGGAGGAAGAGGAGGTGGAAATCGTGGAAGGAAGTAGGGGAAGGCCTCATTTGGAGCCTTTCCAGAGGGAGGAGAGAGGAGGAAGATATGGGGAAAGGCAAGGCTACGGAGGCGTGGAACCAAGAGGTGTTGGTTGGGAGCATCGGGAGGGTTATCATGGGCGCCGGGAAGCGGTGTTTGAAGATCGGAGAGGGGATTTTGAAGGGGGTTTGGGACAGGGCAGAGCAAGGGAAGATCGGGAGACATGGGGGGGTCCAGGCACATGGGAGAGGGGAAACTATGGAGGTTTAAGGGGGAATGGCGTGGATCAGAAGGTAAGGAAATTGAAAATGCCCATTTTTGAAGGGGAGGATGCCTATGGGTGGATCTACAAAGTGGAGAGGTATTTTGCTGTTAACGGGTTGACGGAGGAGGAAAAGTTATCGGCAGCAGGTTTGTGTCTGGAAGGGAAAGCACTCTCTTGGTACCAGTGGAGAGATCAGAGGAGACCTATCCGGAGCTGGGGAGAATTCAAGGATAGTTTGTTAGAGCGTTTCCAAACCGATCGGGGAGGAGACTTCTACGAGCAGTTCTTTGCCTTAGTACAGGAGGGGTCTGTGGCAGACTATTGAGAGAGGTTTGAGCATTTGGCCAGCAGGGTGGAGCGCTTGTCCGAGACGGTGCTGGTGGGAAATTTTATGAAGGGGTTAAAGGCTGAGGTGCGAGCAGTGGTGAAGGTCCTGATGCTCAGGGACCTAGGGGAGGCCATGAAGCTTGCACAGTTAGTCGAAAATCAAAAGAACCTGGAGAAGGGAGCGAGGAGTAGTAGTAGCTCAGGAGGCACTTACAGGTGGACGACTACCCACCTAGCCACCAAGGG